AACACGTGGGGCACCGATGGGATCCCCCGCGTCCCCAGCTCTCTGTTTGATGGTGATCGCGGTCGCCGAACAATGTTGGACCAACACTCACATCATATCGGGACTTCGCTCCGTTGAAGATACTCTCCGACTTCGCTCCGTTGAAGATACTCTCCTACTCCGCTACGTGGACAACAGACTCGTGATCGCAACCCCCAGGTGGCTCTCGACTCCGGCAGCCAACATACTGTGCGACGAACACTTCTATGGAGGAGACATCTTCCTGGACACAGAAGCCGCCCTGGACTTCTTGGGGTTCCGACTGAACCTCACAAGCAGCACCATCTCCTTCATCCCCTCGCATGAGAAGCACAACAAGCTCTCCGTCAAGTCAGCCGCACCACTGATGCATAAGGAATCTGGATGTTATTCCGGACGCACGCTGATCAACCGAGTTTCCTTTCCTGAGTTTCAGCGAGGTCAGGGTCTTGCAATGTAGAAGAGGTTGCACCTCCAACACGGTTTCACCTTACAAAGAGAAGAAAAACCGTCCTTTGCGGAACCACACTGGTTTTCTTCTCTGCCTTTGCATCCTGACAGATTTGACCTGATTTTCGCGCCGCAGCTGATTGACTGTTTGACCAAAATCCGTTACGAGCATGGATACCAACACAGCACGCCAGCTGCTCCAAGACTTCGAACTCATCCTTGGCATTGCCCAACAAGGCATCGCCACCATCCGCGAGTTCCCTGAGAGTCCGCCTGCCGAACCTGATTTGGCACCGGAGGCCACGTTCAACCCCGCCATTGAGGACCTGACCAACTCACCACCAACACCCCTCCTGGCCCCCTCGAGGACCTCTTTGAGCCACCTCCTGATGCTCCAGATGAACACCTTCCCACTGATCATGACGAACAATTCCCTGATCATTGGGCTCCGCCCACCCCTCCTCCGTCTTCCCCCGGCCAAAAACGAGCTCGCCGCGCACGTGATTTGGCCTCCTCACGATCTACGGCATCCAAAACCTGCTCGTGGACCAAGCGAAGCTACCACATCGACCAGGACTGATGCCTCTACTGAGGCCGAACCTGACGCCTCGCAGCCTTGGACTGAGGGAGAGATTGAACTCCTCCGTTCCCTTAAGACCAATTCCAAAGCCAAGTATGTGTGGTCAGTCCTCGCCACAAGACTTTCTCGCACAATTGATGCTTGCAAGACTCAATGGGCCTTGCACAAGTGATGTCGCCCCAGTTGGGGCTCCGTGTGTGTGAAGCGTCCTGGAGCACGGTCGGAAATTCCACATTGCAGGGGGACTGGAGCCGATTTGCCTATCCAGTCCAATGAAGCTACGGCATTTCGGTGGATACCGGATCTGATCAATCCGGCGTACCTGCCTATTTCATGACCCTCTTTCCTGATTCCTTGGCGGTTTCTGTTTGTCGCTGTTGCTTCCTGTTCGGTGTCGATGTTGTGACCTGTTGATTTGCATTTGCATTCAAGCATTTTTACCGACTGCGTTTTTCATCTCGGCTACTCTCGAGATAAGTGTGTGTGTCTGTGTGCGTGTGCGTGGACAACTGTTCATGATAAAGCAAAATGCGCGCAGCAAACACTTCCATCACGTCTGCTTGCACGCCCTCCTTGCCTCCCACTGGAGGAGAAAGCCGGCGATGCCTGACGCTCACAACAGATCTGAATCCTGCTCTTGACATCACAAGAATCAAATTCGAGGCACCTTGTGGCATCCCGGAGAGAGCGAAAAAGTCGGCAAGCATATTCCGACGTCGTCCGGGCGTGCGGCATGTGGCGCACTATTGGAACAGAAACCACTCCGTGAAAGTCAGGTCAGATCGCACTCTCCATAACCGACATGTAATTACACAATCGTGCTAATCCACATCACCCAAGTTATTGCAAATTGCCACTGAACATGCTAACTTGTCTCGTACGTCAATTCAACCACCTTACCAAACAGCGCTTCATGTGCCCAGTCCAGTATTGTTTGCCTGAGCCGAAAATGCCACACCGTCCCGCCTCGATGAGGAAGTGATTATGGGCCATGAACATGCACTTGAACAACTTGAAACATGACCAGCTAAGCATAGATTTCGGAGTGTGAATGCATGCCAACATTTTCCCTCAGAAACTATGACTTGCATGTGACATCAAATTTTGGCCGCAAGTCAAATTTAAGCGACAGCTGCCTGCTCGAAATCCGTGCGAGTGGTACCATGTACATAAGTTTTGGCTGTGGCACGAGAGCCATGCGTTCCCAGCCTATTTTGCGCAGCTTACAATTTGCCATGTCGCTGATGCCTGTTTGGTCCTGATGGTAATCATGGCGTCAGTGTGCTTGCAGTCTGACTGTCCATGAAGCTCCGCCCTACTAGGCGTTTCCTCAACCAGCCCAGCATGAGCCCACACAAATGCAGTACGCAAAAGCATCTTGTCCAACCATCGCCTAAGCCTGGAAGAAAGCTTACGACCTTTTCATTATACACAGCAATAGTGAGTTCAAAGGCAACCCTGGACTTTTGAGGCTCAAATGGCACCGATCGCAATATCAAGGTGAAACTGTGAAACACGAGCCTGTCTGCCCTTGTGGGCTGTGGATGATCTCACTCTGAACACATGGACGCTCATCCACCAAATCTTGATAAATGGCTGTCGCTCAAAGAAACGGTAAATAGAACCCTGGTAAGTGGAAACATGGACCAAAACCTGCGGTTTGCCGCTCCTGTTTCATTTTGAGCCACACCCAAAAGTGAGACTTTGAGGCCTCGCATGGCCCCCAGTCAAGCACCTGCCTTGGACTGAGATTCGATGCGGGTGGCCCTGAGGATGAATAAAGGAAGTCTCAGCGCCACCAGGCACGTGAAATCGTGGCATCCCATGGACTTTGCTTCAAGCATACTGCAAACCTCAACACACGGAGGGATTTAGTATGGATTTTGTCACATCAAACCGGCCTCACAAGCGCTGGTACACCGCCTCCCCGTTCAAAGCCTCAAGGATGACGTCCGGCACCCCTGTCATGTCGGCGAGATCCTTGGCCGAGAAGCCCCTCGAGTTGCGCAGGTTCAGCCAGGCCCCTTCGGTGATCAAAATCCAGGCCGTCTGATAGTTAGCTGCAAGAATGGCCAACATCAACGGTGTAGCACCAGGGTAGTGATGAAGCAATCTGGTGGCGTTTGTCACTATGCCAAGTCTGTACCGAACGGACTGTAGCTTGAGCACGGTATGCTCCACAGAGTATCCTGGCACCTGGTACTGCTCGTTGAGGTCGGCCTTCAGTTCGATGAGCCTGCGAGTCACTTGAGCACCTCCCATGATTGAAACCGCAGCTGCATGCAAGAGCTTCGAGAGGTCCACGGGGGTTTTCCGGCCGCTTCGACTCAAAAGCTCTTCCACCACTGCCGCTGAGTCCACGGCGCACCCAAATCTCAACGCCTGGTGACTTCAATCCGTCAAAAAGACAGTCAGGATCGCCTCAAAAGGCAAACATACTAGTAAGATGTGGCAAATGGCCAAAACCTATGGTACCGTATTTGGGATGGACATCCATGGCCAATTTTGAGGTCCACAAACTGTCAAAAAAATCTGACCCGGGGCCATGTAAGTCAGTAAGTCAGGAACTCAGGTGGGGGTCGTCCTGCGAAGTATGGTGCAAAACAAACAGAAAACATACATGATTCAACTATGTCCAACCAACAAACAAGCTGCTGATTGCCCGAATGTGTTCGTCTTCTCAAGATCGGCGCCCAAATCGCACAAGATGTGCACTCCCTTGATGTTGCTCCCCAGGGCAGCATTGGACAAGGCAGGCGTCATCCCCCCTTCTCGGACGTTTGCCTTGGCTGAGATCAGCTGATTTGCGGCCTGGTTATGCCCAAAGAAACTGCACAAGGCGAGCGCCGACACACCAGGTCCTGACCCAAGCAGGGCCTGGGATTTTCGGGTCCTCTTGGTGAAATCTGCTCGATCTTCCAGGAGCGACTTCATCAGCTTGGGATCGCCATTCAAAGCGGCATAGTGCACGGGCATAAACCCACCGCTGTCGACCTCATTGATTTGCCGAAACCCGTTCTGGTGCAAGAAATCAGTTGTCGGCGAAGCATGAGCGCCTTCGCCAGGGATTAGATAAGGCTCTGGATCAACATCAAGACCTTTCAGATGCACACTCTGTAGATTGCGCTCGCAACGGAAAGTCACAAAGTCCAAGTCTCGCAAAGCTCGGATCATCTTTCGCCTCAAAGCAGCGGCCAAAACTGGGCCAAGCCTGGCCTTGTCTTCTGCCACAGCAAAATGGCCTTGGCCCGTCAACCCATCCGTCACGATGTTGGTCCAGGCCAGCTCGATCTGAGTGGCGCTCTGGACCAAGATCCAAGAACCCCCGGACAGCTCACCTCGGTTGGCCAACCACAAAAAAAACGCTGGTCAAGTCGCATCATCCCCCAATTCTATGGTGGATTCGCCCGAAAACTGTGGCCAAAACACCCAAAAGAGGAAAGAACGCATAGAAAATGGTTGCCAGAATCGCGAACCAGCCACGCATGGTTCGTTCTGAACGACACCAACCTCTTGTCCGCCAGCTTGCAGCATCGAGAACCCCACCAGAAGGTTCCTGGATAAAAGGGCACAGCGCGAAGAAGAAAGAACAGGTTGCCACATAGGCGTGAATGCTGCTGATCGCTCGAGTCTGCTGATTTCCATGAGTCTTCAGTTGAGGGCAAGAAAAGAAGTCGTACCAAACAAATAAATTCACGGATCGGAAGTCTTTCGTCGGCAAGGGCTTAAAGGGTAGGCTCATCTCCGTCAACCAGCTGACCGGAATGGTTGACAGCTCCGTCAAAATGCGTCGCATCGCTTCCTGAAACACCGCGAACTGACGAAAGCTGGGATCGGGATGCTCCTTCGTGGCCCATTGATGGGACACAAAGATCGCCTTTCCCATCTCCTTCTGAAACTCTACCAGAACTCCTCTTGATGTCAAGGTTTCGTAGGGCTCGACGCTGCTCATTTGGAAGACATCTTCCAAAGGCACGGTGTACATCGGGAACAGCATTCTGGGCCCCGGCTCGCACGGCTCGGCCGCCCGCAAACGGGCCGCGTGCCGTGCCAGAGCCGTCCCTGACCCGCAGAGCGGCATGGCGCTCCGTCAGACAGCTGGCAATGGATGCAATGCATTGATGGTTAAACCATGGTTGATAGTGGTAAACAACCAAGGTTTCCAGAAAAGTGATAACACAAAAAAATCCGCAGAAAAATATACAGTATTTCAGCACGCCAACTGAGCGTCGCTCGGCAACGAGCCCTACGGGCCTGCCGGCTTGGTCTGCAGATGCAGCGCTGTTTGCATGCAATGGTGATCAAAGGCACGGAAAACACTGAAGACAAGCACTCCCAGGACTCACGAGAATTGGACCATGGGTCCATGGCTTGGGTACGCCAAAATGCATGGTGTATAATTTAGAGGCCCGTGGAACACGATGACTTCGCTAGCCATTCGTAGGAAAATACTGGGTTTATCCCGTGATGGTTTGCCCATGGGAATCCTGCCGCCATACGCCAATACAGTGATTTGGCCTATAGCTTTCAATCTGGAGAATCGAACACGGCGTTTTGACCAAAAGACCACGCAATGTTGCATAAAGCAGCCTTAAAATCGGCTCCGATGGCGCAAAAATGCGACATGTTTCAGACTCATCCACGAAATCTCCGACACCCCAAAAAAAATAAACTCGCGGGGCTGCAAGGAGCGCTGGAAGGGGAAGCTTCGGATGCGTCGGGTCCAGCGAAGTGAAGCGACGGCCTGGAATTTCCGCCGTTGCTTTGTTGAGAGTTGGAACCAACTGAGTGTTGGATAATTTTCGAGAAGATTTGATGTCAGGGTTGCCGATTTTTCTGCGTCTCTTGGAGGAAAAAAGGCGTCCCTGACAGGGGTGTTTTAATGGACTAGCCCAGCACTTTGCAGTGCTCCGCGTCTTGCGCCAGACAGTAGAAATTCGGCCGGCTTGCTTGCAACGGGCTGGGCCACAGCAACGAGCCGCAAGCTGGCCACAACCTGCCTTGCAGGTCAAGGTAAACTACTTTGAGTGTTAGAATCTTGATCACTGCTTCAATCCGAAAGGGAACATGCGGCAAAAGATAAAAAAGTACGACCGACAAACATGTGCGCATGCTCTTTTTCTTTATAAGGCGTTGCTTGGAAGTTAAGGCTCGGGGGTGCAGGGGGAAAGACTGCGCGTGTCCTTTCCCCGTGTCTCCACCCCTCTGCGGAGCCTTCTCAAATGCCCCCGCCGAACAAGAGGTGGAGGAACAAGAGGTGCAGGACGCACCGGCGCCGCCAAGAAAAGACGCTGCGCGCGAAGCCGAAACGCGGGGGGCAGGCCCGCCTGGGAGCAAGAACAAAACCGACGCAGTTAGAAACGTGCCTACTGCAGCACCGCTGCTCCAATACGCGCAAGCCAATGCCCCTGTTGAGAAACGCGGCGGAGGCAACCGGTGTGAGGGCGAACACGGCCGGCCGGTGGGCACCGTCCGAGCACCGGCTGAGGCAACCGGCTAAGACAACACAGAGCGTAGCTCGCCAAATCACTTCACACGAGAGCAGCAGCCCTGCGCATGCTTGAAATGGTCAGAAATCAACCGGGATCTCTGAAGGCTGACGCGTGAAACAAATCTGGACCACAGCGCGCAGGCTATCGGATGAGCGCGATCACTGGTATGCAACTCAGCTAAGCAATGCACTGTCCTATGACTGAGCCGTGCCATGCGGCACACGGTGCCAGTCATGTGGCGGCAGGATGCAATGCGTGCATCCGGCTGGTGTGCAATGCGGCACATGGTGCCAGGTCGAGACCTGTCGAAACAGTCACGGCATGCCGGGGCATGCTGTGCACAATGCCTCCGGGGTGTCAGCTGCGGCTGGGCCCTGGAGGCTGCAATGCGTGCATCTGGTTAGTGTGCAACAAGGCACACGGTGCAAGGTTGAAACTTGCGGCCACTGCATGCAGGGGCATGGTGTGCACAGCATCTCTGGGGCGCCAGCTGCGGCTGGGCCTCGAGGATGCACCTGAGTGGTGAAAAAAGGGGGTAAACCCTCACGCATGACCCTTAGGTGGCTTGAAGCAGAAAACGGCAACGCGTCCGAAGATTGATTAAAACATAAGGGAAAAGGAAAAACCCTAAACGTTAGAATCTTGATCACTGCTTCAATCCAAAAGGGCACATGCGGCAAAAGATAAAAGAGTACGACCGACAAACATGCGCGCATGCTCTTTTTCTTTATAAGGCGTTGCTTGGAAGTTAAGGCTTGGGGGTGCAGGGGGAAAGACAGCGCGTGTCCTTTCCCCGTGTCTGCACCCCTCTGCGGAGCCTTCTCAAATGCCCCCACTTCAGGGTTCCAAGCAAACGGCCTAATCTATCACCCCTTCTTCAGAGCGTTTGCGAAGCACTCTTATGCTCCGGTCGCCATGGGGCGTCGGGCGGATGCAATGACAGCATGCATTTGTGGGGCCAGAAATCATGCGGGCGAAAACGAAAGCGAGCTTGCGGCTTGCTGTCGAATGCGGATGTGTTTCCGCGCTGATCAGCCCACACGTTGTGCTCGCCTGGGATGCGCGAGGCTAGTACTGACCGTTTGTAGGCCCCATGCGGCGACCAATTGCACAAAAATTTGCAAAAGCCATGCTGTGGCGAACAGCTTGTTCACTCCGGCTTCTGATGCGGCACTGTCTGTACTGGAGGGCATGCAGATGCCTCGCACTGCTTGGCCCTTGGCGGTCCAAGCGACTCGCATAAGAGCGCAAGCTGGGCCAAGGTTTCGAAGCACGTTATGTAGCGTTGGGCCTCCTTGGTGAGGCAAGGCCTGCTGCTGGACTTCCTGGAAGTCCCCACGTTTCTGCGAACCATGAGACGGAGCGGCTGCATATGAACCAGCCGCCTATTCCAACTTTGGCGCCGGGCACGACGCGAGGCAAGTCGGAGGGTATTCTAATGCTCTGGAGCCGAGCGGCATAAACACGCCGTGCACGGGCGGGGCTGGTACGTTCAGCGCCGAAAGGAATGCAGGCCAAAGGCGTCCGTTCACTGAGATTATGCATCCCGGCGGCGAGCGCAGATCTGCATTTTAGGGCGCAAGCCAAGATCGCTATTCCAGACTTAGGCTCGTGGTTCAGATGAGCAGCCCCAGGACTTGCTCCAAAAGTCTTTTGATTCTTTTGGATCGGAGCAATCCGAACTCTTTCAGCTCAGGGGTGGAGTGAGTTCAATACTTTCCAGGCTGAAGTTGATTGACCATCCGCACCAAGTCGGGCAGTTTTGGAATTGCACTCTTTTCCAGGAAATGGGCGGCTGCGAAGAATATAACAATTAGCGCCAGTTGCTAATGCGCGTCTGGGCGGCGCAGCCAAAAGGTCATCCACAACTAAGCTCCATGCGGGTGTGCTAACAGGATGCCGTGTAGCAGTCTGAGCAAGAAAGCTCCTGTTCGTTGCCACCAGTATGCGGAGAACCAAGCTCCGAAGTGGCACACCCGGTAATGGTAAAGTGTCTGTTGGATGCCATCGCCAGCTGATGCGTTCTGGGATATTGCACTTGGCGCTACTCATATGCCGGCAAGGAGCACTACACCAAAGACTTCGAGATTATGCGCGGCCAGAGCTTGTCTCGCACTGTGGATGGCGCAGAGCCGCAGGGAAAGCAGCTCGACAAGCACGGAGAGCTGTGGTGCGCGGTGGCTAACTCCTACTTTGGCAGAATTCCAGGAAAAGCCAAGGACGGACGCTGCTGGTTCCCGTATGGTGGCCAAGAGCATGTGACCACAGACTTTTTTTACGTCTCCTGAGCTCGCGGTGTGGGAGTAGGTGGCTTGGGTGGGTGTCGGGGCTGCCCGCAGCCTTCGTCACATAGCTCGTCCTCAGGGCACATCTCTGGCAGGTCATCCACGCAGCATGCTGGTTGCCGCGCGCCCGCGTGACATGCTTCCGGAAGCACGGCCATCCCTCGCGTCGAGGGTCACCCGAAATGCCAGCAGCGAGCTTCGGCATCCAGCTTCACAGCACAAAGAACTCTGACACACAGCCTCAGATCTGCCCCGGGAAGAAGATGACGGTGGACCACACTGCCCAATGCACAGCAGCCCAGCTTCTCCACGCACACGCCCAATCCCCAAGCCCTAGACGGCCCTAACACAAACTGGCGAGCCACACATAGCACCTTAGGCTCTTGTCTCACTTCACCAGTATATCCGATGTGCATTTGGTTTCGTGACGATGGCAATTGCCCCAAGGCGCGCAGGTGACAAAAATGGCGTCCGCCTTGGAGGCCTGCCTCCCCGAGATGGAGGCGTCTCAACTTGAGCTCGGAGGCCAGCGCTGGCGGTGACGACGCCCAGAGAGCGTTGGCCTTGCAACCTTCAGCGGATCCTCGCCGCTATGTCTAGGGAGTGCTGGTCCACCGCCGTCTTGAGGCCGTAGTTGGCCGCCACCGTGGCCAGCATGGCGTTGTTGGGGGGCTGTTGTGAGATGATATAAATATATAACACCCAGCGCTACGAAGACCCCGAATGGTCCATAGCGACTCAAGGGGCCGTTGCGAAAGTACAACACCATCGTTACGAATTCGTGTAACACCTACTCCTAAGAAAACATGTTTGAAGGACCTGTCACGGGCAACATCCCGGAGGTCCTGGACAACGGAGAGGTAACTGACGGCACGCACGTCACTGCAGGGCAGCTGGCCCTCGCTCTGACACCCTACGCGCAAGTGGCTCTGGCGGTGAACACGGCAGCCTTCGGCAACAACGCAGCGGCCATCCAGTCCCTGGACGACCGAGTCACCGCCAAGCTGACCTGTACCGTGGAATGACAAAGTGACCGATGGTGTCGGACACCTTGGTCTGAAAAGAAGTGAGGGAAAGCATCCTTCACTTATGATGAATTGACCGATGGCGTCGGTCAAAACACTTGGGACACAGTACTGGCACCTCGGGCTGTAGCGCATGACGAATTGACCGGCGAAGCTATGCGTTGTGCGCATAGTCTTACAGGACAAAGCTTGTCTCATGGGGCGACACGGGTCATGAGACACCTCGGAGGCTCAAGCGCTACCTTGTCTCAGTGGTTATGACCAGCGGCCGGGCATTAATGAAGCAACCTTGCGCATTGATGAATCGGCCCGTTC